CTCGCCTTGGAGTACTAGGTGAGCATTTTATTACTTTAGCATATTGCATGAGTGTGATTGTTGCCATGTCAAGCATGATTACCATAAGGCTAATTGCTTAAATGATAAATTGTTTGAATGCCTGTGGATGAAGGCTAATTGCTTAAATTGGGATAATTTGATACTGTATATATGATATCTCTTTTTTAAGTGGTACATATTCAAATACTTTTCAAACAAACGTGAAATTAAAGTGTTCCAACTTTTACAAATTAGTCTATATTTATATGCAACACATAGTAAATGTTAGTCTAATAATCAGAATAAGAGCATATAATGTAAATAAGAATCACACCATAATTAGTAGAGGCCAATCTTTGATCGAGCGAGTGGGGTGTTCAATCCATGACCTTCCCCTCTTGTAGACAATCTTGGTAATGACAGACATGTGGCCTTTGGCATGAGTCATGGGTTTCCTAAATTTTTCAAAAATATTTAGGTGGCGACTCTGTATCTAGCAAAGCAGTCTATTTTTGACATTTTGATTCAAAATTGATTCCCAAAAGATTTATCGGATTTGAACTCTTTTGTGTTTATCTATTTCACATTGCACTTATGAAATCAGATTCAGAACCATAGGAGTCCAAACTGTAGGGCTATCGTATTCGAAAGGAACACAAAAAGTCAAGCTACACTCAAAGATGATATGAGAGCACAAAGGTGACTTGCAAGAGAAGAGGGAGCTCTTAAATATCTTTTTAACTCTTTGAAATTTTTCTAACCTTCAAAACAAAGGTCTGAGCTTGTATTTATAGAATTTGAGGCAAATAGGTCATAAATATCTTCAAAAATGGACAGCTAGCGGATTCCCGCCTAGAACATAGTTTGTTGCCCAAAAGGCACAGCCGAATCCCAATGGTCACGGCCGACCCCAAATGAGGCACGGTCAGACCCCAATGTGGCTCCCTTGCCTCTCTGTTCTAGGTTCAATGTAGGTTGGCACAGTGCTTAAAAATGGGTTTCGGAGGTAAAAACATCTTGGGTATGGAAGGTTGGGATTATTTAGAGCTCGAATTTGGATGCCTTTATTGAGAATTCAAACCATTTACACAATGTAACCTTCATCATCGAGTGCTCAGAATAAAGCGCCTAAGTCTTACGGGCAATCAAAAATGGGGTGTTTATAGCTGGGTGACGAAGAAAAGGGTGATGGTGAGAATGGAACCGAGTAGACTCATCTTGGTGGAAACAGTGCAAGTGTGGGGCCAGACTAATATGGAAACACTGCAAGTGATCTTCCCCTCCCCAATATGACTTCCACACATTCCTTCGTATATTTCGAACAAGAAGGCTTCAACCTTGCTAGGGTGCAGACATTTCAAAAATAGACTGATGAAAGACTTCTTATACGGCGCTGCAAATAGAGAAAACTAGAATCTTTTTTATTTTGCTTGGATTTTATTTGATTCTTTCTTGTCAGTGGGCAAAATCATGTCTTTTAAAAAGATAATGATAAGATCCATCCTTGATGGTCCTAGCTTGGCACACCACACTTCAACCATTTTTGGCTCTTCAATGCTTGGTCTTGGCAAGAACTCAATCAATAGAGGGTTGGGCACCAGACATCGTTATGAAACTAGCCAGCTCGTTTGCCTCAGCATTTTCCTCCCTTCTGATCTGTTTTACCCTAGTTGCCTAAAACTTCTTGATTTCTTCTTTAACCAACATTTGGTACTTAGCAATTCTGTCATCTTTTGTTTCATATTCTCCAAAGATTTGGTTGACTACCAATTGGGAGTCATTATACACCATTAGCTCAGTAGCCTTTATGCGGCGGGTGGATTTTAGACTGACTAAAAGTGCTTCGTAATCCGCTTCGTTATTGGATACTGGAAACCTAAGTTTGATTGCTTGCTCAACAGTCAAACCATCAGGTGAAATAAGGATGATTCCAAGCCCAACTCCATGTCTATTAGAGGCTCCATCCACAAGTAGCTTCCACATCTCCCTAATGAACAGTTTTTAACACTGATGGATCTGAAGATGTTTTTGAATTTGGGATCACAATGACTTCATCAACCGCATTGTCAGGTCACGATGATGTACTTGATTGCTCGTTATCTTGACTTAGTTGCCTTACTATATCCTTTTCAGGCACGTCATTGCAAATTGAATCCTCTGCAGCTTGGTCTACCTCTTTACCCCCTTGCAGTGTGTCATTGAGTCCAGCGAAAGATGCCTCTATTGCCACACTTAATGGTGCATTGCAAGGTTCATTCGTTTGAGGTAAGGCTTCAACTTGTTGCAAGGTGGGAGGATGCTGAGCAATTCCTGATGGTTGAAACTTTGGTTGGTTGAAACTTGCGAGAAGCAGTGTGTTCTTAATCTCCGACAAGAATGGCATACTCCGCGGTTCAAACACTATGTCTTTCGTTATTTTTTCTTGTTCTCACATAAAATTGTGGATTTCACTCGCTTCAACAATCACAATATGCCTGAAGTTTTTTTTTTTTTCAAAATCACATGGGAATTTTCTGGCTATATTTGAACCATAAAGAGATGTGTAGACATCCTATTTTGACCAACCCTAATGACGTCACTCTAACCATACTGTGGTGTGTATTATCTAGAATAGCTCTTCTTGAAAAATTTTGCAAGATTGGCACAACCTAGAAAAGAATAGAAAGAAACTTAGCATAGGAACAACAAGGTGAGTACGGCAAGTATCGCCCGCTCCCCTCTTCTTAATGCATACTTGGATGATTGCTTGAGTGCTTGTTGCACACATTCACTCACGTATGAATTGTTGCACCACAGCCCTCGAACTACACTGATCTAAATCCTTGCAAACAAGGATAAGCAACCTGTGGGTCTGATCACTTGCATGAATGAATGGCACTGCCTTAAGCCTTAGGGTTATGTCAACTAGGATGGTCTCAGATCTTTAATATTCGCTTCTCATCACTTCATGATTGTTTGAGTTTTGTTAAAGAGGGACAACTGTAAACATCCCATTTTGACTAACCCTAAGACTTCGAGTGCTTGCAAGCCTCCCGATGATGAAATGGTAAAGTCCTTCATCTTTAGAATGTTTAAGGATACTTGGAGTTGCTGTGTAAACCTGTTTTGGCTAAAAATTAACTTTTTACAAAAATGACAATTTTACCCTTGAGCCCGTTTTTAGCCAAAAACTAACTTTTCAACCCCGAGAAGAGAGGTAAGTCCGATTGTGCTATGATCAAACGTATTTTTCAAAATTCATAACCAATTTTATTAAAAACATTAGTCAAATTACAACTCGGGCTTACTTGTTCCGCAATCAAGCCAAGGGCATCGGACCCTGCACTTGTGCATCCATGCATGGCATGTGAGCTGAGACAAGACGCATGTGTGCACGTTAAATGTGAGTGTGCTTTAATTACATGTCATTTTACATCTATACACTATAATCTAGAAATAGTAGACATGGTGAATTGAATGTAACTCAATTCAAAATATAAGGAGATTTGTCTAAGTCCAATTTGAGCCCGAGGTCAGGTCTTGCTCAAATGCTTATTAAATTTAATTCAAATTAATAAATTTTAGTCTAGATTTATAAATTTTAAAATTTGTTATTCAAGTTTTAAAGTATTCTGGGTTAGATTTGAATTACGCCTACCCAAAATCAACTGGATAAGAACTCTCAATTGAAAGTCGAGGTAAAGTTTGAATTCATTTATTTATTTATTTATTTTGAGGGGAAAAAAAAAGAACTTAAAATTATTTTATTTTTTTTCTTTATTGTAAGGCATTTCTTATTTTGATATGATTGTTCTTAGAGTTGGACTTACTTACCAGATTTTTATTTATTTTTGATATGATTGTTCTTAGAGTTGGACTTACTTACCAGATTTTTATTTATTTTTTTTTTAATATGTCATAACACAAATAATTACAAATAGAGACTATTAAAAATTAGAATTAATTATATTTAACACCTTTTCACTTTTATTAAAATTTTGAATAAATTACACTTTTTATTCTATAGTTTGATTTAAATTTCATCTTAGTCTTTATTATTTTAATTTGAACAATTTAGTCTCTATATTTTAAGTTCAATTTTAATTTGGTCATTCCGTCCGAATTTTCATTATTTTTTTTTTTTTATGTGTACACATTAGGAGACTAACAAATGTCCCAAAACCATTAATTTTAACCTCTAACTTGAACAGTAGAACCAAATTGAAACTAGATATAAAGTGTAAAGACTAAATTATTTATTTTGAAATAATAAAAACCAAAATAAAATTTAAATTTAAACTCAAAGGATTGAAAGTGTAGTTTATCTTAAAATTTTATTTTAATTATTTCACCTTTAATTGTGTCAGTCAACCTTTCATATGACATTAATTAAATTGACAAAAATTGAAATGTGTGTCTCAAAGTCGATGTGGTATTTTGATAAAAATGCAAAGACGCTAGTGAGACGAGAAAAATGTTTGATGACTATTGTGCCGCGTTGATATCCAACACAGTATCAGGCACCATACTCTATTTTTTTAAAACTGTACGTAATTATTATTTGACTAGTATAGGCTATAGGTACCTACATAAGTGACTGCACATTTTGCATCTCTCATGACACAAACTGCTGATAGAATTTCCCAATTTACAATCCATCCACAAACAAACAATCCCAAACCTTATTTCTTTCAACTGATGTTGAAAATCATGAATAAAGACCAAGAAGGGACAAACTTCGGTCCTATTTGGTTTGTTTTTTAGAAAAAATTTTCGAAAAATTTTTTTACAAATAAATTTTTAAGAGTAACCAAATCAAGTAAATTTTTTATTTCAAAATTTTATTTAGTTACTTACTTTCCAAAATCACTTTCTCTTTTATACACATCAAATCAATCACTTTTTTTAAAAGTCTCTCTTCAAAACAATTTTCTAAATCTATTTCTGAAAAAAAACAAACCAAACAAATTTTCATACTTTTTATCTCAAAAACTACTCTACAAACATAACCCAAACACATGTTTCAAACAAAGACAGAATTGAACATTTTTCATGTGGAACTTTACAAGTCATCCCTTTTTGGAAAAAGAATGATGATGAAATAGAAGACACACCATGAGAGCTATATCTCCGCAACAAAAGGATCAGCTAAGAATTTCAATTCCTTTCACTCTTCAAATTTTCCATTCCCAACCATCTTTCCTATCTTGGTTTCCATTTTCATCTCATCTGTCTATGGAAGTTTCCGGAACCAAAGTGCTCTGGCAAAGCATGACTTCCCCCGGAGAATCTTATGGCTCCTCCATTCATCCTCGGCCCCAAAATGTGATTGTCGTGAGATAAATTCTCCAGAGGTTGGCTTGGAATGTTAAAACCGGCACCCAGCCCCTGATGAAGTGGAACCGGGAACCCACTTCCCATAGTTGATGTTTCAGTGTTGTTTTGATCAGAGTAACGGTAACACATATTTTGGGAACCTGCTTGAGAAAAGCTTCTGAACTGCTCTGCTTGCTGAATGCCCAGATAGTATCCTCTGCTAGTTCCTGCATCAACCATTAACTTTGCCTTTTCCAAATTCATGCTGGTTTTATTTCCGGTTGCTTCTGGCTGAGTATAGTTGCAAGAAGAATCAAGCTTGTGGTTCTCAGCTCGTGGTGGCTCAGATAGAACGGTGGGTAGAGTCAAACACACAGAAGAAACTACCTGATCAGAGAGATTACATGGAGATATGGGTTTTCTAACAGACAATCTCAACATTTCTACTTTTTCCTTTTCATTTGATGCAATGGTTCCGATGGTTTTGTCATGGTTAACTTTCTCTTCAAAAACTTCATGGCAGTTATTCGAATCAGTTGTCCTATCACTTTTCACAGACCTCTCTAAAGATCCCCCATTGCAATTTTGAGTTTTCATTCCCAATTCAACGTTGTTCTGATGTTGGATTTGGCCAGTTTTTTGCCTGTGATTACCGCCTCCTTTCTTTGTTGCCCTTGAAGCTAACTCGACATCCACTAACTTTTTCATCTCATCTCTCATCCTTGTAAACATGTTTTCTCTAGCAACTTTGAGCTCCTCAATTATCGATTTCATGAAGATCTTAAAATCGTCCAGCAAAATAGGCTCACGTGCACTGCGATTATTTTTCTTCTTTCTATTGCTTTTTTTCATAGAAGCCTTCTTCATCTTGTTCTTAACTCCACGATTTCTGTTGCTTGGTCCACTATGTATTTTTTCAGCATTTGTGAATTCGAAAGGGATGATGCCCATATCAGGATCTAATTGACTCTCCTGTTTAGGCAATGGAGCATCGCCAGTTTCATCATTTTCAGGCAAAGTCAAATTTGAAACCACCGTATGGTTCTTGAGAACTCGCTCACCACCAGAACTTGATTTGGAGTCATGGCTTGAAGAATCAAGATCGTCATCTCTCCTCCTGAACTCCCACCGTTGTTGGAACTTTTGGTCCTGACTCATTTCAAGCACTGCGCAAACTTCGAATTATATAAGAGAAAAAACTTGATTGGCAACTAAGCATATACTTGGCAACTAATCATATTTTGAATTCCATAACTGAGAATAATTAGGTGCCCTAATCGCCAAAGCTTTCACAGGTGGCTCAAAGCAAGAACGCTGTTGGGCGAAAGGATCCCTGCCCCAACACAAAGCAGAACTCATTTCAAAAATCAAACCAACGATTTCAGAAGAACCGTTCCTCCTCATAAACTAAATTCTTGAACTTGAATTTTCAATAAAAAGAGTTCTCTAGTGTTGTCATCACCATCCTCTCCATTTGTTTCGTGTTATCTAGTAGACAACCACAAAAACAAATATCAAAAAATTTAAATTAACTAAAGATAGATTAATCACTAAAAACAATTTTTTTGAGGAAATTATTAAGAATCACAAAATCAGACTGGGAAAATAGATGAGAACATGAAATCTAAGTGTACAAGTTCAATATAATCAAGTACAAGCTAAAAAAAGAACCAAGATCAAAACACTAAAATGGATTCCAAAAAGTTTCTATTTCAAATCATAACTGATAATATTAACAATCAGGGAAAAAGAAATTGACAACAACCCAAAAAAAAAAACATGAAAAAGCAAAATGAACTAAAGTAATGCAACAATTCAGAGAAACCCGCCCAAAATGCAAGCCACCAAGAAAATTGTCCAAATCAAAAAAACCCTCAAGACTTCTAATCAGACAAAACAAATAATAAAAAAGAAAAAACCGAAACATGTATTGCATATTAACAACAGCACAAAGATCACACACACAATATGAGACCTAAGAACATGATTATTCAACATTAAAAAAAATCACAAACACAATCACAAGAAAGAGAAAAGAATACAACAACAGAATACCATACGAGCAAATTGTTTATATGAAAATTTTTCTTTTTTATTCAGGTGTTAGATTATGCTTACCATACCGCCGTTGATGAAATAGTTGAATCAATCAAAAGCTTCTTCTCCACATCCCCAACTCTGTCCCTATCTCTCCCTCTCTTTAAGAAGAAGAAGGAGAAGTTTTCATTCTGCATTTGTTCTTGATTTTTTTCTTTCTCTCTAAAAGGAAGAGAAAGATACGATTTTTAATGTGTTTGTGGGTCTATGTAAAGTTTCCATCCAGTGCAGTGTGTGTTTTTCTGTAAATGGAAGGTGGGAAAGTGAGATATTGAGTGGGATGTGGTGTGATGTTGGCATGGAACCAGTGACACAGAGAGCGAGAGAGAGAGTCTGGCCCTTTATGGGTGTGATTACCCTTTTTCAATGGGTTGGTCTGCTAGATATCAAATTACCTATGGACAGGGTGTTCAGTGCATACAAAACGGTACAGTTTTGACTCTCTGTTTATTTGTTTGTTTGTTTATTTATTTATTTATTTTTATTTTTTTTGGTTTTAAGAGAGAAAGTTGTTGATTTGAAACAAAATAAAATAAAATCTTACAAATCTTCAAAGACATTTATTGTAGTAAAGAGAAATATGTACTGATGTATTTTATATTTTATTTTTGAAAATTCATTAATGTATATTTATTGATTATTATATTTTTGATTTTTTAAAAATCAAACTAGTTATATTTCTTTTGACATTGATATTTTTTAGAATATAGTTACTTATATTATATTATTCACAGATAAATATAAGTCATCTACTATATATTTAGGCCAAGTTTGGAAAGTTATCAAAAAATCAAAAAGTCAAAAAATTATTCAAAAAGTTAAAAAGTTATCATTATTCACAAAAGTCAAAAATTACGGCTACACAACTCTCAATTCTAATATTCCCCTACACACTAATTTATACAATTTTTAATATATATTTTTCCATAAAAAATCAAAAAATTAACCTAGACATCCATATTTTTTTCCTCAATTTTTTAGTCCAAAAAGACAAAAAGTGCACTTATTTAGGACATCCCAAACAATCCCTAGTATCTGGGCCAACTAGTACACACCTCGAACAATCTTAAGACTTTGAAGTTAATTGGGGAGACTCAAATTAATTAGTTGATTTTTCAATAAATCAATAAATAATATGTAATAATACACATAGTTGCAGATAAATTTAACAATAATATTTTATGTGTTTTATAATTTTTTTTTAATTAGTTTGCCTAAATGAGAACAATATTGATGTTGTTATTATTATTATTATTATTATTTTAAAAAAATTTAAAAAATAATTTAATTCTTGTAACAAAATAAATCATTAGTTTTTAATTTTATCAATTTAAACGCTACTATTTTGATTTATTTTCATTCTCAATCATTCGCTCATTTTTGTTAGGTAAAATTAACGAAAAAAAATATTTTAATTATTAAACTCAATATAGATATATATAAAATATTCAAAATATTATTTTTGCTTAAATTTACTTAACGAAAATAGGTCAATGATTTAAATTAAAAATAAATCAAAATATTTAAATTTAAATAGATAAAATAAAAAAACTCATAATTTATTTTATTACAAAGGTGAGATTCTAATATTTTTAAAAAATAATTTCCCCTCATTATTTTTGTTAATTTTGCTTAAAGCAATGTAAAGAAACCAACAGCTGCACACATACCAACATATTAAAAAAATAAAAAATAAAAAATAAAAACCCAAACGCACCAAAGTATTGAATGATTTTTTTGAAATTTATTTATATAAATGTGTTTCCTTTAATACTATCCAAAATAAACGAAAAAATGTTTTCCAAGAAAGTTGATAAATTTGTTGCTCTGATTTTGACAAACCACTCACTTATCCACCACCACCACCACCAAGCCTAACCTTTCATGGTTGGGAATGGAAGGTCAAAATTTCCTCATTAGTTTTTTTCCCCCAATTTGAATTTTGCATTTAAAAAAAAAACCCATATGGTTGTTTCTGTGTTTGTCATCCATCAAAACAAGTTAAATGCAAAGATTACATGTAAACTTTGACCACAAATAGGGCACTTTTGGGTGAAACAGTGGGCACATGATGAATTGGAAAAATGCCTCATACACCCATTGGGGGTCGACCCCCAGTGAGGTGGCACTCCATCATTTGACAAAAAAAAAAACTGTTTTTTTTTTTTTTTTTTTTTTTTTTAAGTTTCAACCAGTGGGGGCGCGACACCTCACTGGGGTGCGACCCCCACTGGGGGTATGCAGCACTGCTGTGATGAATTGTGGGGCGCTTTGGGAAGAAATTAAAAAAAAGTTAATTTTTTGATTTTTTAATTTTTTTAATTAAAGAAGTCAGCTTTTTTGTCAAAAAAAGCTATCAAAAAAGTCAAAAAATAAACTTTTTATCAATTATCTAAAACACCCTGTATACATTACTAGTTTTCAATAATTGGCACACAAACAAAATTTAATAAATATACATGTTATTACAATGAGGCCCACGAGAGGTATCATAATTTGCCGTTACAAGAAGTGAATTTCATGATTTTGATATATATATATATATATATATTCTAATTACTTTTCTGCAGTTTAGTTTTTTATAATTAAAATTTGTATGTTTACTTGTAGTTAGCACATAAAATTCCCACCTAGACATCCAAACGTTGTGTTTGGTTAGAAAATTTGAGAAGAAAGTTGGGAAGAGAAAACGGAAAGGTAAATGAAATATGAATAAAATATATTTACATTTCATCTAATTTCACACACCTTTTCTCTTTTCGTTTTTAAATCTTTTCTCAAATCTCTCATCCAAACATAATGTAAAGTGAAAGCATCTTATATTTTCGATTCAATAAAATGATATGAAATTTTTGAAGGGTGTATATATATTGCACTAACTTTCTTCAAGATTTGGAAAAAATATAACAAACCATGTCATTTTTACATAATTGTACCAACCTTGTAAAATATATATTTCAATATAAAAGATATAATAATATTATTTTCTTCATTTATATAATTAACTAATTAATGATGAAAAATAAATTAAGCGTTATGTGAATTAAAATCTAAGCGATTATAATGTAATTACACCAAACTTTTAAGAATTGCAGTAGTTTCACCAAACTTGAAGGGAGGTCACCGTAGTTTACCCATTTTTTAAAGAGAATGGCTTGTCACCGGTTGTGCATCCAATTGGACCAAACAGTTAACGCCATAAATTTTGCAACATACGCAAAATGGGCCAAAGCCTTTTTATAATTCTGACCGGTAAAAAAATCTAACCAAGTGTTAGAATAGTGGGCTAAGAAATTTCATTAATTCTAACCAATAAAAAACCTCACTGTCACTAGTCTAATTAAATCCACAGCTGGAGACAAGTGACGCCCTTTTCGAAAATACAATTCATTTTTTACACCATTTGGAATTGAAGTTTGTATGTATAATTATTAAAACTTAAAATAAAAGCACATTTTGCACCATAAAGGCAATCATGCCTCTGAAAAAACACAGAAAAAAAGTGTAATTTATTAGACTATTTTAAATGACAATAATTTTTTAAAGGGACTGAAAATGTGATTCCAAATTGCATGATTCTACTGTTTGAATGTGATTTCAATAGAAATTTGATTCGTGATTTACCGATCCATGTGAATCAATTTCTTAAACTAAAGAAGAATCCAATCCCCTACTTTTACGTAGTAATCTTACATTCTTTTGTCCGAAAAAATCAAATTAAATACTTAAATGAAATAATTTTTTCCTTAGTCAAGATTCTTAAATTATGCAAGCACTTCAAAGAGATTATCCACCCATCAAATTACTAGGAATGAGATTCCAAAGAATGAGATAGTCTTTTGATTCCTGCTATTCAAATAGTCTTAGAACCATGGCAAAAGAAGCATCTATTTCTTTGTCATTGTTTCTTGGGAAAAATGAGTGGATTCTTTAGTTCTCACGTTTCTAATCTAGACCCGACCCATTGTATGTTTCAGATCCAGATTTCATTATCTTATACAGTTGTTCATCTCTTGTTTTCTCTCATCTCTCTTTGACTTTGGCTTTTGAGATGTGTTGTTTACGTTTGAAACATGTTGGTAGCTTCTTTTTTTTTAAATTGTTGATGTCCAGAATTTTGTTCTTTCGCTCAAGCGACATTTCTCGAGCTCGGGCGGTCTTTGTGAACCTTCAGTACTTTTGCAGGTCTGTAAAACTACTCGGAGTTTGCATTCTTCGCTCGAGCAAAGCTTCTTGCACTCGAGCGACGGTCTTCTATCTATAAAACTACTGGGAGTTCGTATTCTGCACTCGAGCTAGGTTTCTTACGTTCGAGCGGTGAAAGTAATTGTGTCTAGTCACTCGAACGACTCATCTTGCGCTCAAGCAAACTGTGCATATATCAGTTCGTAAACAGCCACTTTTGATTCACTTTTTCACCTCTCTCTCTCTCTTTAAACATTTCAAAACCCTAATATCTCACTCTCTCTCTCTCTAAAACTCACCTAGATCCGTCGATCTTTTCACCATTGTGCCTTTATTAAAAAGGTAGAGCTTGACAAGGGTTTCGTTCTAATCGGAGCAAAGTAGAATTTTGGCATCTTTGAGTTTCCACTCCTTCTTCAATCATCTTCTAAGCTTGAGGTAGGAATATCTCCACTCTTTGTATGAGTTTTAACTTAGTTATTTGTTATTTCTAAACAATATTGAGATTTTGGGAAGATTTGGAACAACTTAGGGTTTTGGGATAAAAATTAAAAGAGAGGTTTTTCAAATGGGTCCTTGAAAATGATTTTGGTATGGAAGAAAATGGTGAGTTGGGAATAAATTATTGATGTTGAATGTTGGGGTTGATTTTTGAGAAGAAAAGAGATTTTGCCCTGAATGCTTCAAATGTTGATTTTATATAAATTATGAGATTGATATTGATGAGGATAATAGATATTTATTATCACTCACCTTTTGAAAATTTGGAGAGTTTATCTTTATTGATAATTATTTATCTGTTTAGAAATATCTGTTTTTGACTATCAATGAAAGATAACTATGAGTGTTGTAGAAATTGCATGTGAATTAGGAGAATTGAAACTATTTTTCTCATTTATTTACATTAAGCATTATCTCACACTTATACATTGAAAATGTTACTGTTTTGAGAAAATTGGTGAATCTGAAAAAGAGTTGTTACTTTGAATAAATTAGCTAGTGTGTCCAGAATGAAAGTTCCGAAAACCGTGCGTATACATGGGTGTTGATTCAGTGGATTATTTCTACTACTTTAGCTCACCCTATGTGGGAAAAACATAAGTAGGGGTGTACACGGTCCGAATTGGTTCGGTTTTAAGAAAATCCAAGAACCGAACCGATCCTATCCTAACGGTTCTGTGATTTTGAGAACCAGACCAGACCGTTACACTTGTAAAATCGGACCAAAACCAAACCGAAAAAACAGTTCGGTTTCGGTTTGGTTTACGGTTTCAAAAATTTCTATTTACAAAAATAAATTATTAATATTAACAAAATAATTACTCAAACTAATTACATTTAACTCATGATAAAAACTAATAGTATTAAGGTATTACTTAATATTACATATCTATACCATCCTAATATCATTAAAATTATAAAAAACCAATTAATAAAAATAAAACTTGATATTATGACTGTCACAGCTCAATGGACATTATTTATTTACTGTATTGGCTTCCGCCAGGCCCTGTACTCTGTTTTACTGTATTACTGTTAAGCAGGCCTTCGGTAATCTCGGATTACTGGCCGGTTACGGTGCTAAACCCATAGGGCCGGGTTTGGGTCGTGACAGATTCGGTCTGGTTCGGTTTAGATTACTAGTTTAAACAGATTTTTGAACAGCCCTAAACATAAGTGTTGATAATATACCTCCGCCAAGGCAATAGCTTGAGAGAGCAAGAACTTCTTTTGTGTATTTACTTATGTACAAGCCAAGAGTTCTAACAGTATTGGACTTAAGTCCATTTTTATTGTAACCAAGCATCAGCTTAGAAAGATGTAAGTCTTTAAAGCATTTCTTATTTGTCCAACCATTCTCATGTCTTTCGATTATATCACTCTTTTGTAAAGCTTAATTGAAAATCAATGAAAAATAACTTCTTCATCATTGTGAGCACTTCTTGATATTGAGTATGAGTTATAATAATTATTTCAGAACATTACATCACCTGTTCAATTTGCCTCATTAAAAAATATAAATAATACAATTTAAGTTTTAAAAAAAAAAAAAAAACCCACTAAAATCTGTATCTTTCGGCTTTGTACTGTGGAAGGCTAAAACATATCCAACTCAAGGTTTAACTTCTGAATCCAAATAACCCTTCTCCCAAATATGATTGCAGAAAGAAAGCTTGACAAGTAATCTTCTCATTGAGATAAATCAATTAAAGGATCCAACTTTGCACTGTGACAGGCTCAATTTACAAGAAAATACAACCTTACATATATCCCAAACCAAATCAAACTAAACTAAACTAAATTTTGTATCCCAGCCAAAGTTACATTTACGCCATTCTAACAAAATTGTGATCTCAATCCCAATTCAGGGACTACACCAGTGTTCTGCAGCAGCAAGGCCCAGCAACCTGTTGAGGAAATTAACCAAAAAAAAAAAAGAACTATAAGAAACTGTAATTCCGGTACTAATAATAGTTATGCATGCATGAGAAAGAGGTAAAATGAAACAAAAACAGCACGAGAAGTACATAATGGCTGTGAGCAATGAAGTTGTTTGTTGATAAATTCATTGTTGTCATCAATTTTGTAAAGCATAAGCTATATACTGACTCTATTCATCGTTTAAAAAGAACTAAAAACAAAAAACAAATAGGAAAGAAGAAAATTTGATATTACTCTTCTCTTCTTCCTTTAAAGGGATAGGTGGAAACCGTATCGCCTCAGAGCAGGATCAGAGAAAGTCATCTATTTGGCCACAAAATGTATAATAGTACCCTAATTGGTTAAGAATCATATTTAGTCAAAATCATTTCAATACTACAACAATCAAGAGAAATGCTTTGTCCAAGGTTGATTTTGCTATCCCCATTATTATCATCTCTGGATGTTGTACAAAAGTCAACAAAAGTTGTTTGTCATCAGTTAAAAAAATCAAAAAAACCACTCAACTTTTTCACTTTGAAAAGCCAAAAAGCCACTAAATTTCCCAAATGCATAAGCTTTTCTAGATTCTTAAAAAATTAAAAAATAAATAAATAAAAAGAAAGTAGAATCAAAAAAATTATTTTAAAAACAAACAAAGAGCCACTAAAAAAGCCTACCCCAAACAAACCAAATTGAAAAACAAACTCAATGGGACTCTTGCATTTATGGGGACAAAAACGTTTAGCACAGTCTTATAGCTCTTTATTATTATTTCCATGGTATTTAAATTATTTCTAATAATTTCACGAGTTTTCCTTAGATTGAAGTTTCCCAATCTTATTTCCAAAAAACCAAAAAATAAAAGGGTTTTCCCGTCTAGTGAGATCTTGCTAAGTGTAAGTCAAAACAATGAAACCTCATTTGAAAAAAAAGAAACATTTTATTTCCTGATTTTAGTAAATATAAATAAAGAACATAAAATTCATACCGTCCTCTTTCTGAGAAAGGGCCCTCCAACTTCCTTCAAATGCAGGTTATGTCATTATGTCAACCAAGAGAAACAACATGTTCCAGGATTTCAGCTTCGCTGAATGAATCTTAAAGGAACTACTCAAATATAATGAGATCAATGCTCTTGTAATGGTTCCCGGCCTTGAGACCAGCCTCAAGAATTCTCTACTCCTGATTCTATATCAATGACTTTCTGGTAACCTGTAGCAACATAGGCAAGAGAAGACATGACTATCCAAGCATGTTAAGCATCAAATCTGTTCTTTTTGCACTACATTATTAACTCTTTACTCTAGTAATTTGCATCGTCCTAATGTGGACAACATTAATCTAGTAATTTGCATTGTTAAAAGTGTCAGCACTTTTAACAAGTCAAAGGCTACTAAACATGCCTTACATCCACAGTCCACACCAACAACAATTAGAATATAATTTGATCATGTGCATGAAATCACTAGGAGGTAACAAAACTGCAACAATAATGAGCTTTTCTTTTTTCCTCCCATCCACTCCAACATTAATGAGAATAATATTAAATATGATGCACATCACATCACACAATGCAACACATCACACAATGCAAGAAGGATAGGATTCTTCTTTGGGTAATATTTCTGCAGTTATTGATTCAAGTGCAAAAATAAGAAGGATTTGGAAACACACTTCATAGAGCTACTCACAAGGAACACGTTGTTCTTTTTGGTATACCAATAACTTGGCAAGCAACATAAGAGAAAGAAAACTTACCGCCATGGGAATTCACTCGTATCAATTCCAGCTTGGTGAAGCTCATCAACATACTGCAATGCTTCTCTACACTCCTCACGGTCATCAAAGAACTCTTTTTTATCACCTTCTATCTGGTATGTTTCATGGCCTTTTCCAGTAACCAACTGCACATAAAAAGAGAATACAAAATAAACAATTAATAGTGCATGCATAGGCAAGTTATTATTGCCCATTCATAGCATCAAACATGGGGAAGACAAGGGCACAAAGTCATCCCATTACATCCCAAACTCTTTAACAGTCACCAAAAGCTACATAGGGAAACAAAGAGAATTTAGTTCGTTGTTGTATTAGAACAACAAAACACTTTATGCATCTCTATTGAAAAGTTCAGGAATAAACTCATTTCTATCATTTAAGCAATGGAACTGTTTAAGATGGCAGATTCTAATTTTCTCTTTCACAAATCAATTTGTTTCCATCCCCATTAGTTTTGAGTGACTTTTACCCCCAAATTTTATGGCACTAAATATGAATAGATTAACTGGTAAGAAAAGCAGAATGGGGTCTCGAAGACTTACAACCATATCGCCTTCCTCACCCATGGCAACAGCTGCACGTACAGCTACCCGTCTTATATCATGCAAGAAAAGCCTGTGTCCATTAGGAAGAGGTGGATAGTAATCATTCTCTCCATGTTTCAAATACTCCTGCATAGTCCATCCTACACCAGCCAACATGTCATCCAATATGTCCACTGGCGAAGATGAAACAACCAGGAATTAGTAATGCTCTTTGACTCCCAACACAATACAACTGAGGCATTAGGGGGAATATCCATCCACCATACAAGTACACTAGTCTCTCACCTCGAGAAACAGTAGAAAGATTGTTCTTTTCCACATTATGTGAAGTTTTTCAATAAGAATTAGGACCTTGTCATGGAATTGTTATATATATATAATCAACCATAGACAAGCATGTTGTAAACTGATTATATTTTAACTTTGGTGGTGGCATATTTCCTTCATGCAGTATGGTTTGCAATACATACAAGGATCTTCATTCTTCGGATTGTCAGATGTCAAGATAGTCACATCACTTTTATCTGTTGCAATCTTCGTCATCATGGGTCTCTTTCCTCTATCGCTCTCACCAGCACAACCAATAACTTCAGGAAAAACATGAAAATTTGGTTAGACCATGAAAACTTAATTACGTACCATAAGAACTTTAGCTATTCCTAAATCAGTAAGCTTCTGGTTAAAGTACACCAAGACAAGCACACAGAGAGATAAAGGCTGTCAGTTTTCCAGCAAATGGCATTTCTAACCTGTTCCTTTTCTTCCTCAATAGACCACGGCCTAAAGGGTAAACATAAAAGCTGTCAACATCAAGGACAACTGAACTTCATTCCACAAAAGGCTCTAAATGTCTATCAAATCAATTTCCAAATTCTCAACATCTCAATTTTGACTACTTCCAAAATTAAATATTCATTTGATGAAATATAAATAGTAACACTTGGGTGAAACATTGAAACTTAAAATAAATTATTGAGGCTTCAACCTGGACAATCTCAACTCTGGAATGCAAACTTAACAAATGTTCTTCTTTTGTTTTTTTTTTTATCTTCTTTTTCTATTTTTTAATTTTTTAATAAATTAATAAATAAACAAAAACAAACTGGAAGAATAGTTTCTGTCAAAAAAAAAAACTAGCCATTTTTTAAACCAAATGAAGAAACTTTTGAGCTACAACAAACCTAGACATCGTCAGTTTCTATCAGCACTTGTGTGAAAATTGCAAATATTGATTTTATAAAAGGGACAAACCACAACTCTGTAAAAAGGTATGGTACCAATCATTTGCATTTTGATAAAGCATATAAGAAGCATACCAGTGATAATCCTCCTTGGTCCAAGCTCCTTTACAAAGTCAAGTAGTCTAGACAAGGCATCAGGAGTATGAGCATAATCCACAATCACCCCGAATGCTTGTTCTTCATCTATCAACTCACACCTACCAGGAACTGAATCAACCTCTTCAATCCCCCTAACAATGTCTTCCAAAGGCGCTCCAACTGCAATTCCAACTGCAACAGCTGCAAGAATGTTGTATATATTATTTCTGCCAAGCAACCCTGAAGAAATCTCCAATATTCCTTGGGGTGTATTTACCAAAACCTGTGTCTCAAACAGAGAGAGTTCAAATTTCAAAGAATAAACATCAGCATTCTTATTCTCCATTGCAAATGTCACAACAGGCACATCTGGGTTCCCTTGTGCAATAAAGAAAGCTGCATTTGGGTCATCAATGTTGACAATTTTCCGGTGATGTGCTGGGTCCACCATCCTTGAAAACAGCTTGGCCTTGGCTTCCCTATAATCCTCTTCAGACCCATGAAAATCCATATGGTCCCTTGTCAAATTTGTGAAAACCGCAATATCAAAATCAACCTCATTGCACCTCCCTTGTGCTAATCCATGAGACGAAGCCTCCATGACAACTGCTTCTGTCCCATTATTCACCATCTTTGCCATCAACTTCTGAACCAAAACAGCATCTGGAGTCGTATTTGGTGACTCCAATTCATTATCTCCATGAACATAGTATGCCACGGTACTCAACATCCCAGTTCTCAATCCCATTGCTTCATATATGCTTTTTATCAAATACGAAGTGGTTGTCTTCCCATTAGTCCCTGTAATTCCAATCACTGACATATTTGTGGACGGGTATCGATAAAAAGCAGCAGCCAATGCAGGGAGGACTGAACTAGTGTCTTCGACAATAACCAATGCTTTACATCCCAAAGTTTCCTCTATATCTATTTCTTTACTAGCAACTACAGCAACTGCCCCTCTCTTGTCAGCCTCAGTTAGATACAAATGGCCATCAGTTCTCCTCCCAACACAACATACAAACAAATCACCAGCGTCAACCACTCTCGAATCATGTTGAATTCCACTAATCTCAACCTCTAAATTACCATAAACCGATACGGGCACCACTTTAGTCTCATCTAAAAGCTCAGCTAATGTCATCTTAAACTTGGGTTCAACAATTCTAGCCTTAGATTTAGCAAAACTATCAAAATCAATATCAAACGACGAAAGATTAGAAATTTCCCCATTACCCATATCATCATCACTCACCTCGTTCTCCAAATTTTCAGACTCCTCTTCATCAGAATCAGCTGAAATCACAGTAAGCCCCTGAAGTTCATCGATTTCCTCCAAATCAACCACTTCCTCAGGCTCCAATTCTTCAATTCCTTCAGCAATCTTCTCCGGAATCAAAATATCCTTCATTTTCTTCGGGTTCGGCTTCAAAAGCCCCTGTTTAACAAACTCCTTCCGCTTCATAGCAATGGCCTTGTCGATTTCCCCGAACAAATCATCCCCAGGATCGTCCAAATTCGATGAATCGGGATTATCGGGAGCGTCTTCGACATCGGCGATTGCGTTGAGAAAGGTGGATTGGTCCTTCTTGAATTGCTCTTCTTCGAGCTTTCGAGCACGAGAGGCTTGGCGGTGAATTTGCTGGAACTTGGAAACGCCGTGCATAGAGTCTTCGGGGGCTTCGGGAGGGTCATCGTCGGAAGGGGTAGGGTAGAACTTGCCGTCACGGCCGATGGCAGAAGGGTTTTTGAGAGGGGGTTTGGTGGGGAGATAGAGAAATGGGAAAATGGGTTTGAAATGGGGTAAAGGGGGTTTTAGAGAGAGAGGGTGGGTAGAGGAGAGAGAGAGTGGGGATGGGGAGAAGGGTGGGATGGAGAGGAAAGTGGTGAGTGCCATTGAAGAAGACGAAGAAGAAGTGCAGTGTGAGAGCGAAGGTTTGGAGGTTCAAGGGATAGGGGGTTTACTTTACACAGTTTTTTTTAATATAAAATAATAATATTAAAAAATTAATATTTTTAAAAATTAATTATAAATTAATGATTAATTAAAATTATAAAGGGAAATGTCTCGTAACTCAAATTTTGTGGTTTAAAAGTGGCTCAAATGACCAAAACGACGTCGTTTTGGCCATTTTTATGTTGTTCTGTACTCAAAACGACGTCGTTTTGACCATTTGAGCCACTTTTAAGTCACAAAATTTGAGTTACGTAACATTGTCGAATTATAAATTTTATCATTAAGTAGTCATTTAAATGTCCGCGGGGTGTAATTACCCTACAAAAACACACAACAAATTACTGTTTTATTTATTACGATTAGGGGTGTGCGCGATTCGATTTTGAACAGTTTGTAAATCGGTTTAGATTCGTCATGCATACAGTTTAGAAAAAATTTAACCCGCAACTGCCCGCAGTGCGGGTTACGGTTTGAGCGGATAAAGTTCATGGATATGCGGGCGGTTTGCGGATTGAACTTTTTTCAATTTTCAAATTCAATTTCAATTTTCAAATTTAATATAACATAAGATTGATTTCAATTTTAAAAGTAATTAACAAATTCAATTTCTCCTCTATGAAGAAGTACATTCAATTTCCTACAATATTCATAGAACAAACAAAAACAAAAACAAAAACATTCAAAAATAATGTTCTCAAACAATGTTCTCTACAACATTTCTTTTTGTATTATGAAATTAGGGTTTAGTGTGTTGACCAAAAATATCTAGGGTAGGATGAATAAAATCAACGATCTAAGTTTTTTTATAAATAAATAAAATAAAATAAATCTAAGTGCAATGGGTTCATGCGAGTGCGGATTCAGCCTGCAACCCCCCCGCAACCTTCAATTATGTCATATTTCAAATCGCATCCGCCCGCATTGTGTCTACGAAACCGCCCATTTGTATGCGAAGCAGTTCGAGTTAGGCGGTTCGGATAACTCTATGCCCAACCCTAATTAAAGCATGTTTGTTAAAGGGGAATTTGGTTAAAACTCTTTATAATAAATTTTTAATATATTAAGGATAAACATAAAATTTTGGAGAAATTACCCAAAAACACCCCTAGGTTTCGCGTGTTTTTCAAATTAAACACCATAGTTTTAATTTTGACAAATTAAACCCTAGAATTTCTTCTGTGTTTCAATGTGAACCCTCCGTCTATATCCGTTTGATTGAACTAACGAAATCTGGACAAAATTCTCAGATTCAAGCACACATGTTCAAACATTTGTATCTCCCTCGTTGTAATTCAGTTTCGCCTAATTTTTGCATCGTTAGATTCACCTCATTGCCTAGTTTTCATTTCACCTCGCATACACATTGTTCCATCTCTTTTTGTGAGCTGTTGGAACTCCGAAAGTTAGAAAAAAAAAATAAGATTTTTCTCTCTTTGGGAAAAATTTTCAGATTCAAACACACATGTTCAAGCACTTATATCTCCTTCGTCGTAACTCCGTTATGCCTCATTTTTGCGTCTTTGGATTTACCTAATGACCTAGTTTTTGTTTCACTACTCATAAGCCTTGTTCTACCTCTTTTTGCATACTGTCGAAGCTCTGGAAGTTGGCCAAAAATAAGATTTTTCTTTCTTTGGACAAAATTTTCATATTCAAACCCACATATTCAAGCACTTGTATCTCCCTCATCGTAACTCCGTTTTGCCTCATTTTTTTCTTTGTTGGATTACCTCATGGCCTAGTTTTCATTTCACCCCTCATGCGCCTTATTCCAGTTCTTTTTGCATGTCATCAAAGCTCCAAAAGTTGGCAAAAAATCTTTTTTTTCTCCTCTATTTTCTATCTCCATGCTTCTTCCTTCCTACTTTCTTTCCATAATTATTCTCTTTTTTCCTTTTCCTTCATGGCCTTTCCACCGAGCTCGTGGTGGTCACCGAACCTCCGACAGTGGCAGTGTCGTCAAGTATGAATGTATATGACTTATAAGAACGAAAATAAATATAAGAGTGGTGGAAAGACTATGAAGGAAGAGGAAAAAACAGAATAATTGTGGAAAAGAATGAGGAATGGAGATATAAGATAGAAAAAAAAAAAAAGAGAAAAATTTTATTTTTGGCCAACTTTTGGAGCTCCAACAACACGCAAAAAAAGGTGAAATAATGCGTATCAGGGGTAGAAAGAAAACTAGGATATGAGGTGAATCCAACGACGCAAAAAAGAGACAAAACAGAGTTACGACGAATGAGATGCAAGTAGTTGAAGATGTATGTTTGAATCTGAAAATTTTTCCCAATGAGAGAAAAATCTTATTTTTGGCTAACTTTCAGAGTTCCAACAGCACACAAAAAGAGGTAGAACAAGGCGTATGAGAGATGGAATGAAAACTAGGCAGTAAGGTGAATCCAACAAAGCAAAAATGAGGTGAAACGGAGTTACGACGAGAGAGATACAAGTGTTTGAACATGTGTGCTTAAATTTGAGAATTTTGCCCAAATTCCGTTAGTTCAATCAAACGGATATAGACGGAGGGTTCACATTGAAATACGAAAAAAACTCTAGGGTTTAATTTGTCAAAATTGAAATTATAGGGTTTAATTTGAAAAACACGCGAAACCCTAGGTTTTTTTTTGTAATTTTCCCTAAAAATTTTCTTGAAAAATTTAACAAATATCATTATTATCAAAATATTAAATTTTAAAATAATATAACTTTTAATGTAAATGTCAATTTTTAATAAAATTAATATTTTTAAAATTCTCTCATCAAGATTTATTAAATAAGATCTATGTTGGCTATGAAATTCTTTATAAAAAAAATTATTACCATTAAAATTTATATAAACAGCAACAATAACGTGTTATTCTGTTTGACAATTACTCTATTTGACAGTAATATGTTACTTTAACAATATTGTTAAAGAAAGAAAAAATATATACTTTTTTTACTTTGTCCTTACTTAATTATGTATTTTCTCCTTAGGAGCTTTATGAAGAAGAAAAAAAAATGGGCTATTTTTTTCACCAAACAATGGTCTAATGGGGGGATTTTGACTAAATTTACCTTTTTTTTAAAGTTAATTTAGTATGGACAATAGGTTATAAATTCATTTATGAAACCATTGGGTTTATTAGCCAAAACTTAAAAGTAGTGTTTGGTAGAGTTTTAGAATTATGACTTGAGAATAGAGTTGTATTTGAATTTTGGAATTATAATTTGAGTGTGAAAAATTTGTTTGGTTATGAGTTTTGAATTGAGTTTGAAATTTTTGATGTGACATATGATATTTGATTCAAAAACTTACAACTTATAATCAAACATACAACCCAAAATTCTATTCAAAAATCATAAAAAAAAATTTAAAAATTTGAAAATATTTTTTATTTAAAATATAAAAAATAACAGGTATCAATTTTTCAAAAAAAAAAAGAGCACTATTCCGATCGACCAGCCGGACAACCGTATAGGCCAAATTTCAAAATTCAAAACCCAACCTAAAACGAGTTTGCAAAATAGGTGTAGAATCAATTTTTCAAAATTGTATTCAAACACCACACCCAAATATGAGTGTAGAATCATGATTAGAACTGCATACCAAATACAGCAATATTTTTAGACTAACAAAATATTATTTGTCTAAGAGGACAAAAGATTATTTATCTATTTGAATATTTCCTATTTACTTAATTATCACCCATTTGTTTAATTATATATTCAAATGTGTACACGTACCAACTTATCATTAAATTCAAGTGAATTGATAACTCATTGCTGTTAAATTAGGATAAACTAAAGACATTCCCTTGTCCCGTTTGTTTTCAGAGGTAGAATGGAGGGGATTGATATTGAGGGGATTGTTAGTGAGGGGATTAAGTAAAATTGTGTTTATTTTGATGATAGTTGTTAGTGTAGGAATTGTTAAATTATTTTATATAAAATAATAAAACAAATAAAAAAATATAAAAAATTAAACATTAATATTTATAAAAAAATTCCCAATATATAACAAATAAAAAAAATAAAAAAAATTCTAATCCCCTCACTATTTTTCTAATACCATCTCCCCAACCTCCGTCTCAATCCCTTTCCCAACCTCCATCTATATCACCTCCACCATCCTAATCCCCTCCCCAACTCTACAAACAAACACAACGTTAAATAACACCTCCTCCATCTTAATCCCCTCTCATCTGCTTAACCCAAAACAATCGGTAGCTTGCCTCCAATCTTTAATTAGATTAGACGGTGTTGTTCGGTCCATAGAGGCCCATCATGGGTCTCGTTTTGATAATCTGAACCGTTCGATATGTAAAACTCGTCAAGCACTATATGTTTGTAAAAAATCAGGTTGATCAGATATCGATAGCTATCTCATCTTATCAGTTTTTTGTCAATCGTTAATTTGTTCACCTTCCTTTTTTTATACAAAACTGATTTGATCGCATAGCTATCGATATCTGATTAACGTAAGTTTTTACATAAATATAGTACTCAATGAGTTCTACACATTAATGGTTCAAACTATCAAAACGGGACCCATACTGAGCCTCATGGGCCGAACAACACACTGTCCAGTGCGTGCGATTAAAGATTATAGGCAAGCTACCCCATTCCTTTAAATATATACTTAGCGTATGGCTTGTACTATATACAGAATAATATAATATATTAGTTATAAATAAGGTGCTCGGATGAAAAATCCAATCTTGAATTTTTTTTGCCCAAAAGATCATGCATTAATTTATTATGTCCCAATTATGGTTATAAATTTAGGAGGCAAACATTCAGTCAAGACGATGAAATTATTGTGAACAGTGAAATTTCATTGGCTGGACATAAAAATTTTTTTTTTTTTTTTTTTGGTACTTATATATAGGTCCTCATAAGTAGATTTATTATCTAATAGGTCCTATGGGAAAAATTTGCCATAAAAAATGATCACTAATTGTAAGTTTTAACGACAACTTATAAAAATCATAACAAAAAAAGTCACTTATTGTCAAT